TTCATAAAAAAGATGAAAAACTTTATAAACTATGAATATATTAAAATCACAAATTCATAGCTTTATGATATTCAGTATTGAAATCTTATAATTTTAGGAAAGAAAAGTATTGTTCATTTAAAAATGCATGGTAGTGCAAAATAAACAGATATATTTAAAGAAAGTATTTTAAAAGATATTAATTTATTTAAGGAACAAGTATTAGGTACCTACTTTGTGTCAGATAGTATGTCAGCATACTTATTTAGCCTACTTAGTGCATATATGATGATAATGTGTACAAAATTTCAATTGAAATTCTAGTATGGCTTTGTTTTTGACTTATATATACAGCAGACTTGTGTCCTCAAGACTTCATGAATTTAAGAGAGGGAGTCTCAAGCTAAACTTTATACTTGGCCACAAAATTCATTCAGAGAAACAAGTGGGTCACAAGGATAATCACTATTTACAAAAGAGAGTATTAGTAGAAATTTCAGTGAATCTTTGTTTTCTAATTTTCTTGATGTATCTCAAATTCCAAACTTCATTCTTCCTTACCACATAGTAAATAGTTGTCATGCTTGTATTTTGTGAAGACAGTTTAACTAAAAATATAACTTTCACTGCTACATTTTTAAAAATTCAATTTCTCCTATCATGTTACTTGGCAACTAATTGTGAGCATTTTTGTTAATACCCTTTATCCAGTAATTCCATATATACCTTGTTCTTTCTTCCAATGTGTAATAAACATATCCCCCTTTCCCTCTACTTACATGAACTTTAATTTGTTTTACCTTTTGCATCTCTACAAGTGTTGGTTTTCCCTAAGGGCATATGGTTTTACTGAGAGGCACTATTTATTTAAGTAATATCTTCTGGCAAGTGAGGTCGTGTGTGTGCTTCCATGCATGTATGCATGTGTACATGCATGTACGCACGCATGTACATACTCTCACAAATGTCCAACCACTGAGGAGTTGTTGAACTTTAGTCCAAATTCAATGAATGGTTGGTTTGGCCAATAATTAAGGGATGAAATGTATTTTCTTGAGACTAAGTTTTGTTTTTGTTCCCCCCACCCAATTGAGTATTTGTTCACAGAAAATGATTAATTTCTCTTCATTTTGAACCAAGTGGATTTGTGGTATAAAGCAATCTGCTAAGATAAAATGGATGATTATATTTTGTTCTTTTTTTCTCATTTAATGATTTAGTTTAACTTGTTACATTTTCTTGGTTATTTCTATTTTGTGTCAAGCTATGGAATAAACATTGCATAAAACTGCAAAGCTTAGTCTTTCAAATTCATTTGTTATGATAACTTATTCTATGTGGGAATTACCTATTCCTATGAGTTGCATTATAATTGTTAGTGTCAGAAAGTAACTTATAAGAAGAAATATAATAAATAATTTTTATATTATGACATAAAGATGAATAAACTATATAAAAATACATATGCTGAAACTTTCTGATTAATATGTTCAATGCCAACTCTTTCTCTTTCACACATAAACACACGTGTGCACATGCACACACACACACACACACATCCACATACAAGCACAGACATTTAGCTGTGTAAATCTTGTAAGCATTACTGAACATCTTTGAACTTCAGTTTTTCTCATTAATGAATGGGAAAACATATGTAAGAAACTTATAAACACCATAAAATAAATCTAAGTAATTAGCAATTCTCTGAAAAAGGATCAGCGGGGCAAAACAATAGGTACTACAGATAATGACCACAGCAATTATCTCCATGACAGCTGATTGCTAAGTTGCTTTGTACATAAATAGCAACATTAATGTTATGTGTATTGACTAATCAAGGTCATTCCTTTGCAAAATTCTGTAAGACACATTATCATACAATTGGAACAAGATCAATGCAATGAAAATAAAAATATTTTGTTACTTTTATTTAATAAATGGTAAAATAAGGACTATATGTGCTATAAATCCAACCAGAAAATTATGACTCTAAGATACTAAGATTCCGAGATTCATAATATTGTATCTTAGAACTGAAATGACTAAGAATAGGCCTTAAATTATATCCAACCACACTTTACATATATTTCTACAACAACAGCTACACTACTACTACGACTATTACTATTCTTAAATTTAATACTTGCTATTTACATGACATTGTACTATCTGCCTTATTTTGATTGCTTAATTTGATCCTATAGTACTTTTTATAATTTCTTCTATTAAAAAGATGAAGAAATGGAAGCCAAGAACTTCGAAGCAAATTGTCCCAAGTCACCAAGTGGTAAACTAGAGTAATTATGTCCTGAGAAACTAAATGAATACGGTCCAGTATCACATTTTAGTAGAAATGAGAGTCTTTGACAACAACAAAAACAATGACAGAAATAGATATATGTATTGAGAAAATTGTTTTTGTTTTCTATTGCTGACATAACAAATGACCATGGTAAACGTACTTCATGTGGAAAATTATAGAATTATTTGTTCTGAAACCCATGTCTATTATTTAAAGATGTCCAGTATATAAAATTAATTCTTTTGGCTGGGTGTGGGGGTTCATGCCTGTTGTCTCAGCACTTTGGAAGGCTAAGGCAGTAGGATTGTTTGAGGCCCAGGGTTTGAGACTAGCCTGGGAAAAATAGTGAGACTATATCTCTACAAAATAATAATCATAATAATATAAAATTTAGCAGGGCATTGTGGTGCAGGCCTGCAGTCCCAGGTACCGTGAAGGCTGAGATGGAGGTTTGCTTGAGTCAGGAGGTTGAGGCTGCAGTGAGTAATGATTGCGTCACTGTACTCCAGCCTAGGAGACAGAGTGAGACCTTCTCTCAATAAAATAAACAATATTTTAAGGCTTAAATTTTTGAAAAATCTCTTTAATATTTGACAGTAGAATTTGTGTGATGCTGGCTACTTAGTAGAATAGAGGTAAAAAGAGCACTGCCATTTAAACCCCGTGTTTTGGAAAAACGTGAGAACTGAATTCCTTATTGACATAGACATAATATGATAAATACACAGCCTTTTTTTTAAAAATAGAAAACTCCAGTGTCTTCGAATCTGAAAATGATCTTGGATATTATGTTTTCTTTAGTAAGGAAAACTTTAGGCAGTCTTTAGATAGACTTATCCTTGAGAAAGAAAGATAAATAATTTCATAGGAAAGAGATTGTTTACTAGAATGCTGGTGACCACAAAGTGGGAGTGATTCAGATTAACATCTAAAGCATTGAGGAGCCTTCTGACCTTCACTGATTGCATTACATAATTTGCCTTCAGCTGTTAGGGAGTTAAAAGTGATCTGGAGAAAATCAGTTGCTTTTTGAATCTCTGAGTACAATTTGTGTCACACACTTGAGCATGAAGTATGGCTGCAGAGACTGAGCTACAGAATAGGAAAACTCCAGGAGTGATCCAGACTTTCAGGCAATGAAATCAAGGCTGATTCATTTCAATTAAGGAAGCAACCTGGATGTCCTTGGGTATATCCAAAAGTTAAAAAAAAAAAAAAAAAAAAAAAAAAAAAAAAAAAAAAAAAAAAAAAAAAAAAAAAAAAAGAGACAGAGAGAGAAATAATTCCTAGGAAAATAATGGGCTACTTACAATTTGCAGGGTGGGGACTTCTGTGAAAAAAGATGCAACTTCATTTTTTAGCAAAATTGCTGAAGCAGGTCATACCACCTCCAGCCTTTAGAATTAAATGGTTCGGCCTACATCCATGGTCCTTTTGAAATTCTTACAATCAGAGACAGATATACGTTCTTCAAAATCGTTCTGAATTTTAGAAAAATCTGTCTTTATTTAGTGAAACATATTTAAGGAAAAACAGAAGGAGATAATATGATTGGAAAAATATTCTAGAGAGAAGAAAATAACAGACTAGTTTTTTCAAACTACTCATGCTGGGGACTTTCCATATTGCTTAATGTATAAGAGGGTAAGCTCTGGAATCAAAATGCCTGGGTTAACATTTTCAAACTTTTACTTGCCAAGTTACTTAGACAAGTCACTCACTGTCTCTTCCATTTAGGTTTTTTAATCTGTAATTTGGAAGAAAATAATAATAATCTTATAAACTTGTCAGGTTTAGTTTAATTGAGGACTTATTTCTGCACACAGTAGATGATCAATAATATTAGCAAGTATATGTTGACCCTCATTTAGTCATCTGAAGACAAATGTTTATGTTCAACAAATCCTAAAATCCCTTATGCTTCAACCCCACTAATTTTGATCTTTTTGTTATTGATAAAATAGATGAATGGGGCAACTATGGTATAAAATTATGTTTTAAATTATAGTCAAGGAAAAAAAAGTGTCTAGTCTCATCTGTGGCCCTAAGGAAGAGGAGCATAATTATTCAAAATCAGATAACAATTGTTATAAGATCTAATAATCAACACAGAGCCTTTGACTTTATCAGCTTTTCTCCAAAAAAATTCTGACATTATTTCACAATGTATCATACAAATTGAGTATCACGTTAAACTCACATCAGAAAATTCCATATTTATTTCTTTTTCTCATTTTGCAAATTTAATGTAACTCTGATGCCAAAATATGACAGCACACAGAAAGCAAACAATAAAGCAGAAACAGCAAACAATTTTTCATAGTGTGATACCCTGAAGCTGATTAGTTGTAACTTCTTTAGACTGCTGTGTGGATGAAGATTCCAAGAATGTACCTTGGCTCCATGGGAAGGGCTGATGCAATCTATTGGTGGTATCTGTAAGCATAGGAAATAAACCTGAAATCTCACTAGCCATAGGTGAAGCCACAAGCACCAAGGCTGGTGGCTTCACTGTTGTAGTCAGTATTGGTGCTCATTCCACCACCAAACCTAGCACTAATGCTCAGTCCACCACTGAAACCACTGATGCTTGGTTCACTGCAGAAGCTAGGACCACTGCTTGGTCCACCACCAAGGCCAAAATAATAGAACAGGATCAACTATTGAAGCTGTTGCTGGAGGTGGGTTTGCCAGTAAAACCAGTGCTAGGACTGGGATGACTGCCAAAACCAATGATGGTACTCAGTCCTCTGTCAAAGCTGACATTAGGCCCACTGCTAAATCTACTGCTGGTGCTGAGGTAATCACTAAAGCCAGCATTAGTGCCGACTTTGCTGTCAAAATCAGCGTTGGTGAATTTTGTAAACAGGCAACCAAAATTCAAAATTATAAAAGAGGGCACAAAAGCACTAAAATAGGACTCAAAGAGCTAAAACTCAAAGAGCAAAAACTGTACATGTGAAACTTTATTTCTGGGCACTTTATTCTGAACAATTGGTCTACATGTCTGTATTTATACCAGTACCATGCTTTTTTGGTTCTGTAGCCTTGTAGTATAGTTCGAAGTCTGTAGTGTGATGCCTCTGGCTTTGTTCTTTTTCCTTAGGATTGCTTCGGTGACTTGGTTTCTTTTTGGTTCCATAGGAATTTCTTTTCTAATTCTATGAAAAATGACATTGCCATTTAAAAAGAAATAAGATTGAACTGCTTTAGGAAGTATGAATATTTAACTGTAAAGTGCTTTAGTAAGTGTGAATATTTAATGACATTAATTCTTTCAGTCCATAAGTATAAAATATTTTTCCATTTATTTGCATCATGTCTGATTTCTTTGAGCAGTGTTTTGTAGTTCTCCTTGTGGAGATCTTTCATCCCATTGGTTAGCTATATTTCTAGGTATTTCAGGGCTTCTGTGTGGTGATTATAAATCTAATATAAATGTCAGACCTCACACTGTAACAATCCTAGAAGAAAACCTAGGAAATACCTTTCTCAACATGACATCATGCTTAGCATAGAATTGTTGGCTAAGTTCCTAGAAACAAGAACTTACAGGTGGGACCTAATTAAACTAAAGAGTTTCTGCACAGCAAACAACAACAACAAAATATCAACAGAGCCAACAGGCAAGCTATGGAATGTGACAAAATATTTTCAAACTATATATCTAACAAAAGCCTAATATCCAGAATCTATAAGAACAAAGCAAATCATTCAACAAGGAAAAATCAAATAATCCCATCAAAAAATGGTCAAAGAACATGGACATTTCTCAAAAGAACACATATGAGTGGCAAATAAACATATATAGGTGATGGGGATGGAGGCAGCAAACCACATTGCCATGTATGTACCTATGAAACAATCCTGCATGTTCTTTACATGTACCCCAGAACCTAAACTGCTTATATATATATCTATATATATATACACACACATATATATATATGTATGTATATATATATACATATATATACATACATATATATATATGTGTGTGTATATATATATATATGTACACATATGAAAAATGCTCATCATCATCAGAGAGATGAAAATCAAAATCACAAGATATCTTCCCACACTAGTCAGAATGGCTATTGTTAAAATGTTAAATAATAACAGATGCTGGCAAGGCTGTGGAAAAAAAGAAATGCTTATACACTATTGGTGAGAATGTAAATTAGTTCAGCCATTGTTGAAAGCAGTTCGAAGATTTCTCAAAGGAGTTAAAACAGAGCTACCATTCGACCCAATGAGCCTATTGCTCATTATATAACCAAAAGAAAATAAATTCTTCTACCAGGAAGGCACATGCATGGTTTGTTCATCATAGTGCTATTCACAACAGCAGAGAAACGGAATCAACCTAGATGCCCATCAGCAATGGATTGCATTAAGAAAACGTGGCACATATATACCATGGAATACTATGCAACCTTAAAAAGAATGAAATCATGTCCTTTACAGCAACATGGGTGCAGCTGGAGGACGTGACCCTTAATGAATTAACATCAATAGAAAACAAACCACTGCATGTTCTCACTTATAAATGAGAGCAAAACATTGAGTACACGTAGACATAAAGATGAGAACAGGTGACACTAGGGACAACTAAGAGGAGGAGGGGAGGACAGGTGCATGGGTGCAGAAATTCCTATTGGGTACTATGCTGACTACCTGGGTGATAGGATCCATATTCCAAACCTCAGCATCATGTAATATACCCATGTAACAAGCCTGTACATGTACACCTATATCTAAAATAAAAGTTGATTTAAAAAAAAACTAATTATAAACCAACAAAAAATAACTGAAACTTTTTCATAAGTCTGCCAAGTCTCTAGAAGTCCTACTAAAAATATGTATGTGTATATATATATATATATATATATATATATATATATCTCCTTAATGTAATCCATTGTATTTTCTTAATGCAGTCCACTGCTGATGGGCACTTAGGTTGATTCCATGTTTTTGCTGTTATGAATAGCACTGTGATAAACATACACAGTATGTTTACACAATGGAATTACCTGTATAGTGTAACTGTGTAACTATATATATGTAATATATGTGTATATATATCATTTATATATATTTCAAGAAGTTAACTGAAAGAAAGAAGAACTGCCTAAAATATATATTTTAAGTTGCCTGGCTCAGGCTGAGACCCTGAAGCCCTAAAGCCTAAGCCATTTTTTCTGGAAAACAAAAGTATAATTTCTAATATCATCGTAGTCCTTGAGTATAACAGAATTCTTCTATCTCTGACTTGATATCTGCACCACTAAAGGATGAACAAAAATGTTATGACAAGCATGAAAATGTGTTAATCTGGTGAGTATAGAAACAATTCAGAAATAAAAACAGCTTCAGAGGTAATCCTCCAATGCCTGGAGAAGACACCTTCTAATATGACTGAAATAGCCTGCTGATATACTGAAAATGTGGCAGACACCAAGTAACAAAAAGAAATAACTTGTTCTAAAATGTAAAGTCATTTGCATTTTGAGGAACAAGTGCTTTTAAAGTCCAAGAGTTTAGAGACACACTGGGATTTGAGAGTGTCACAAACACAAATATATTTAAGTCACTGCTCACTGGAGAAAGAGCTTCCTTATATACTATGTATGGTGTAGAAGAGTTGCAATAGTTGCTAAGGTAGCAGTGGATCAGGGAATGATCACAGAGCTGCCTTCAACAGATAGCGACAAGGATACTGAGTGGGGCACTTTGAGTGATGTCAGTGGAAATTTGCTTTGTAGCTCCAAAGAAAATACACAAAATCAAAAATGAAAGTGGAAACCTCAAGTCACCAAAATGACAGAGGATTGGAGGATCAGGTCGTTGTATATTGAGAAATATGTGGAACCAGCCAAAAATGGAAGACTATAAACTCTAAGCCTGTAAGATTAGTGGAAAATTGGTGATAATACACGTGGATGGCTCCTCATAAGGCCCAAAACAGACAAGAACTAGGAAAATGGATAATTAAGTAACCCAAATAAATCTTCCTAAAGTATCATAGATGTTAAAGTATGGATACATACAAAGCAAATATTATCAAGATGACCTAAGGTATTTGTAATATCAAATTATTAAGGTTTTTTTTTTTTATATATATAAAGTAGCAAAGAAGTTTAATCCTAAAAATCCCAAGCTCTCACGATAACAGAACCAGGGCAGCTATAACACGTGATTTAGTAACTGACTGTACCTGGGTTTGATATGGGGAAAAAAGGAGGTAGAGTTTCTATTCTTTAGTACACTATACCATACATCACAAATGACAGTGGTTTATATACTTTTATAATAGATACCAAAGCTATCTCCTAATAAAATATTTTGAGCAAGACTATGTAGTATGGGTTCAAAGTTTGCCAGTAAAACGGTTACATGATGCTGAAGCTGAAATTACCTGTATGATGTAACTGTGTGACAGTAATTATAGAGAAACAAAAGTTGCAGCAGTAGTTCAGTGCCCAGAAATCAAAGCATTCTAGAGCTGAGCACATTGAGAGAGAGTAATCCAGACTAGTGTAGACATTGTCTGCTGGCATTACAGATGGCATAGAGCAATAGCACCCTTGGATTTTTTTTTCACATCTTGCATGTTGGGAAGGGAATGAAAGAAATGAGTTACACTTGCTGCAGTAACTTTATATCACTATTGAGGATGGCCAATGATGTTCCCCAAATGGAAACATTTTCACTTCAGAGCGAAAGAAGAGTCTGGAAAAACAAAACAAAACAAAACTGTAAGACTCTTAAACATTTAGGCCATGGTCTAGAACCCTAAAGTCTTTGAGAATGTTTCATAGGGCAGCTTAAATTGACACCAATTATTTCCATACCAGAGTGCCATATATTTCTAATCCTTTTTGTTAATATGGAAAAAATTCCAGAAAAGCACAAATGTGCTTTTTGAATAACATCTGATGCCATAAAATATACCAGTATACTGACCTCCATGTTTCAGATGCCCTAGTCTACCCATTAATGAGTCAATGGATGTTAATGCTATGTTTAAGAGGTAGGCATTACCAAATATGTATAGTTGAAGAAGACAAAGTAAGAACAAATTTAATCTGCCCATTAAAGTACATTTCATTTAAAAGATTGTTTCATGGGATCTTAGGAGGGAAATTTTTGAAAGTTACTGTTAGGTAGATGAAGGAAATCCAGAATATTATTATTATATTATTGTTAAAATTTTTATTTTATTGTTTTTTGTTTTAAATTATAAAACTGGATTTGGCAGATTTTAAGAAACGTCAGCAAAGCCTCCTTAAGGCTGTCTCTTGACAGATATAATCCTGTATGTATCTTTCTGAGCTAGACAAAGCATGTCAAAACAACAAGTGAGTTTAATCCCATAAAATATTTTCATATTTCCCTCTTCCAGTATGTTAGAGAGAGAATTCTATGACTCCGGAGTGTGATAACACAATAATAAATTTATAAAACAGTATTCTTTAGGACATTCGGAGAGGAGTTGTAAAAAGATACCCAGGAAGGTGCAGAAATTGCAGAAACAGAGTTCAGAAAAATCTTAAAAGGACAAAACCCTTAGCTAGGAAATACTTGATAAATGGCTCAAAGTTGACAGATTGAAGGCATTTCAGAGGTAAGAGCTGGTTTATATGTCAACAAATTTTCATAAAGCTAATCTGTCCTTGCCTTTTCTGATAGATTCCAATGCTTATTCTAAAATTTCTTCATAATTTTCTTGCTTTCCGCTTGATGATAGATCAATATGCACTTTCAGTATTTCTGTTTAGCTTTCCACTTCTTCCTTTTTGTAGTTTCCATTCAGATGGGTTTTCTTACTGAAGACCATGC